TGCTCTAGCTAGGACTTCTAGCACAGTGTTAAATAGGAGTGGTGGTAAATGGCATCCTTGTCTTGTTCCTGTTCTCAGGGGGAATGTTTTCAGCCTCACTCCAGTAAGAATGATGTTGGCCGTTGGTTTTGCTTAGATGCCCATTATTATTTTGAGAAATTTCCCTTGTATACCTATTTTATTGAGAGTTTTTATCAGGAATGGGTGTTGAACTTTGTCGAATGCCTTTTTTGTGTCAATTGAGATGATCATGTGAGTATTTTCTTTCCTTTTATTTATGTGGTGGATTATATTGATTGATTTTCTAATGTTGAACCATACTTGCATACCTGGTATGAATCCTGCTTTGTCATGGTACATTATTTTTTTGATATGATGCTGAATTCTGTTGGCTAGAATTTTGTTGAGAATTTTTGCATCTGTATTCACGAGAGATACTGGTCTGTAATTTTCTTTTTTTTGTGGCGTCTTTGCCTGGTTTTAGTATCAGAGTTATGCTGGCTTCATAGAATGAATTTGGAAGTGTTGCTTCCTTTTCTATGTTCTGAAATAGTTTGAGTAGTACTGGTATAAGCTCTTCTCTGAATGTTTAGTAGAATTCTCCAGCGAAGCTATCTGGGCCAGGGCTTTTTTTTGTTGGGAGTTTTTTAATTACCTTTTCAGTCTCTCCTCTTGTTATGGGTCTGTTCAGATTTTCAACATCACTTTGTATTTGTTTGGGTACGTAGTGTGTTTCTAGCAATTTATCCCTTTCCTCTAGGTTTTCAAATTTGTTGGAGTATAGTTTTTCAAAATACTCTCTTATGACCCTTTTTATTTCAGTTGGGTCGGTTGTAATGTCCCCCATTTCATTTCTTAACTTGGGTTATTTCCGTCCTCTCCTGTTTTTCTTTTGTCGGTTTGGCTAGTGATTTGTCAATTTTGTTGATCCTTTCAAAGAAGTAACTTTCAGTTTTGTTGATTCTATCTATTGTTTTTCTATTCTCTATTTCATTTATTTCTGCTCTGATCTTTATTATTTCCTTTTTTTCTGGTGGCTATGGGCTGTTTTTGCTGTTCTCTATTTGTTTGAGTTCTGTAGTTAATGTTTTGATTTTTTCCCTTTCATCTTTTTTGATATGCGCATCTACTGCTATAAATTGTCCTCTGAGGACTGCCTTTGCTGTGTCCCAAAGGTTTTGGTATGATATGTTTTCATTGTCATTTGATTCTAGGAAGTTTTTGATTCCATCTCTGATTTCTTCTATTACCCAGTAGTTTTTAAGCAGGGTTTTATACAATTTCCATGTGATTGATTTTTTTTCATTGCCCTTCCTGTTGTTAATTTCTAGCTTCTTGGTGTTGTGGTCAGAGAAGATACTTTGTATTATCTCAACATTTTGGATTTTGTTGTGGGTTGCTCTTTGGCCTAAGATGTGGTCTCTTCTGGAGAATGTTCCATGTGCATTGGAAAAGAATGTGTACTTTGCAGCTGTTGGTTGGGGTGTTCTATATATGTCTTTGAGGTGAAGTTGGCTGATTGTGCCCTTTAGGCCTTCTGTATCTTTGCTGACTGTCTTTCTAGATGTTGTGTCCTTTACCAAGAGTGGTGTGTTGAAGTCTACCATTACTTTAGAACTGTCAATTTCTCTTTTCACTGCTGTTAGAGTTTATGTATTTTGGAGCCCTGTCGTTGGGTGCGTGGATGTTTATTACGGTTATGTCTTCATGATGGATCTTCCCTTTAATCAGTATATAGTGTCCTTCTTTGTCTTTTATGGTGGATTTTGTTTTAAAGGTTATTTTATCTGAGATTAGTATTACCACTCCTGCTGTTTTTTGGTAGCTGTTTGCTTGATATATTTTTTTCCATCCTTTGATTTTTAATAAATTTATGTCTTTGTTTCTAAGGTGTTTCTCTTGTAGGCAGCACATTGTTGGAACCTGCTTTTTTATCCATCTGTCACTCTCCATCTCTTTATGGGTGCCTTTACGCCATTTGCATTCAGTGTAGTTATTGATAGGTGTGAGTTTATTGCTGTCATTTTGTAGTGCTTTTTTTTGGGGGGATGCTGACATTTTCTCTGTTCCTGTTACTCTCCTGTGCTGAGTTCCTTTTGTTTGTGGGTTTTTCTTTTTCATTTCCTTTGTTTTTGTAGATTTTGTTTTTACTGAGACTTTATGTTTTTCTTTATTTTGGTGAGTAGGTTTGTTAACTTTCTTTGTGGTTACCTTGAAATTTACCCATATCTTCCTAGTTTTGAACCAGTGTATTATTACTTGATATTGCCTTGCCTTCCTCTCCATTAGAAGAATCTATACCTACACCGTTTATTCCCTCTTTTAGTGTTCTGATGGTGTTGTCATTTACAGATTAACCTGTGTGGATCCCTGTTTTAATTCTTTTGGTTTGGGTTTATTGTTATTTTTATTAAGGTAACAAAACTCAAAACCTGTGAGTTTAAACCTATGGGATAAATTAAATTAATCATGTATTATGTTCATCATTTTAAATATTTTTGGTGATGATATTCACAAATTTGTTGAAAGACCATTTAGTTTAACTTTGTATTTATTATCAAATAGGAAGCAAAAGAAAACAAAAAGTAGAGTTAGTAGAATGGATGTAGGAAAGTGTGAGGGGGGTATTAAAAGGAAATTTCATCTCTTATTAATACCGTAAGTCTCATGAAGTTAATACTTATTTCCTATAATATCTCAATTTGGATTGAATATGACAGAGAACCTAATTCTTCCTAAAGAACACTTATTTCTTAGGTAAGTAAAAAACTAATCCACATACCTTTAGTTCCTAAGTAAAGGTAGTCCCCAACTTACAACAGAAGTCTGTTCCAACGATTCCATCGTAAGTTGGTTCTGATGTAAATCGAATACCTCATTTTTTTTCAGCTTTCATTATTATTGCCTTTTATTATCAATATCTTTATAAATCTGATCTTTGTCTTTGTCCTTAACTTACAGATAATGTCAGCAAATTATGTGCTGCAACATTGTATGTAGTACATATTACTAACTATAAGATGTATTTTTTTTTTAAAAAAAAGGACAGTCATAAGTGTGGTTCATTGTAACTCGAATATGTCATAAGTCAGGGACTACCTGTACTGCCACTCTTAAGTGCTACCTTCCTTTCACCCTCTGGGTGTTTAGATCCAGCCCTGTGGCTGTTGAATATAGAACTTAAGTAAATTCTCAAGGCACCCTATCTCCCGTTCCTTATCTTCCAAAGAAGCTCTTGATCTTTCATATTTCAGGTCAGGTTAAGTATCATCACCTTTGTGAAACTTGTCCTTGCCTACAATTTACCCCACCTAATTAGTCTAGACTAGGACCTCTATAAAGGCAGGGACTGTTTGTGTGTTTGTTTATTGATCTCTAGTTCCTCAGTGTCTTTTAATTCAGTAAATATATGAATCAGTATATAATTTGCTATATAAAATATAAAATTATCAGTATATAATTTGCTATTAAGGGTGAATTTCAGTGTTATAAGTAACATTCATGAGCCCTGGTGTTACAGTGGTTAAGAGCTCAGCTGCTAACCAAAAGGTCAGTAGTTCGAATCCAACAACTGCTCCTTGGAAACCCTATGAGGCAGTTCTACTCAGTCCTGTAGGGTCGCTAGAGTCAGAATTGACTTGATGGCAATGGGTTTGGTTTGGTTTTTAAGTAACATTCATGTTGTTCCTATCAGTAAACAGATTGAATTTAATAGGATTTGCTTATATAGTCTTTCAAATTTAAACAAGAATCATGAAACAACTAGAAGTTGATAATTTCTCCATTAGCTTAAATGTGTACAGTAACAATATTGGAGTAAATTTAGTATTAGAGGTAAAAAAGACAAAAAACAAATTTACAGCCCTGAGGAAAAAGTGAAAAACTTTATTATTATAACTGTATTATCCAGGCCTCATGCACTAGATTTCTAGATTACTCTCTGTAACTTAACTCCATGGAAAATGTCATTAAAATAATTTTTAAAACATCACTGCATGTGTCCATTTAACACTTTGCCACCTGTTTTTGAATTCCATAAGACTTATATTTTCTGATATATGAGATGGGGCCATTTTAATCAGAATTAGGCAATTCTTTCATTACAGTATAAAATGATGATTAATCAAACTGAAACAAAGCCATCACTGAGTATCTACAAGGTTTGCTACCAGGTTGTGTTTTTACAATATTTGTGAAAATTTTATTCTGGACAAATCTTGGAGGAATGCACCGACAGTGGTTTCTTATGGATCACTGTCTTTTTTTTCCATAGGCAGATCCATGAAGATTGAACTTTTCCTATTGACTCGAAGACTCCAATTTGACTCAATACATTAGTAAACATATGGAGACCCATTTTTATCCCTAGAATAAAGTTCTTGCAGTTAACTTGACAGGTCTGCCACCATTTTCTACTTCCACAACTGTGTCCCAGAGCTCTGGTCAATAATGGAAGGTTCATTACCAGCCCAGTCCCTGCCTTTCCCAATCCCTTCTGCAGTCCTTATTTCTCTGTCAGTGTTGGCTTCTGAAATAAAAAACTAAAAAAAATTGCCATCCCTACTGTATACCAAAATCATCAGTGCCTTATCCCCCCAGGATGACAAATTCTGGAGAACGGAAAGCTTCTACAAGAATCTAGACAGTTTGTCTCAACAGTACTAACATCTACCTTTAGGAAAATCAGTGAATTTTTGGGAAGCACAGTAGCAGAAAACGAGGAAAAGCTATGGAAGTGTAAAACAAAAGCAAGTTCTTTTAATCACAGATATTAGCTTTTTCCTGGGAGAAATAAAACAAGTAAGAGAAGGACACCGTAGCTTCAGACTATAGAACCTCACTGATGTATTTCATTATTCAACGAGAGCAGACCGTAAAGGGTGTTTCTATAATCATTTCTGTGCATAGTATTGATATACAGTAAAACCTGCAAAAGCCAGAACCTGTGTAAGGTGGAAACCTGTCAGAGAATGAAAACTCAAAATATTTTCCACTAATAGAAAGCGATAGAAAATTGGTAAGACTGCATGCACCCTGTCAAGGCGGAAAACTTGGGAGACCCGGAAAAACAAGGCACTTCCAGCAAGTTCTGGCTCTCACAGGTATGTGATGGTACAGTCATGATGTTATAATATTTTTAAGTCATATTGAACTTCAGATTGCCATGGCAACGTATACAGTTTAGTGCAGTATATGCCTCACTGGTAACTCTTAAAAAATGTTACCAGCAAAGTTCTGTAGGTTCTTTCAAGGTAGTTATGTTTGGTAGCATATAAAAGATCACAGACTGTTTACCAACATTATGGTTATGACTAATCATTTCATGTATTACAACCAAGTACTTTGAAGTTTTGGCTCTATAGCTGAAAACTGCTATCAAATTCTGCTACTTCTGCAGGATAGGCCACATTTTAGGTCACAAAGCAAGTCTTGATAAATTTTAAAAGATAGAAATCATAAAAAGTGTTTTCTCTGACCACAACAGAGTTAAGCTAGAAATCAATAATAGGAAAAATAAAAAAAATAAAAAAAACACAAACATATGGAAATTAAACAACATTCTATTAAACTACCAGTAGGTCAAGGAGAAATCACAAATTTCTTAGAGTCAAATGAAAATGAAAGTACAACATACCAAAACTTATGAGATGCAGCAAAGGCAATACTCAGAAGAAAACTTACAGCAATAAATGCCCACATGAAAAAAGAAGAAAGATCGCAAGTTAACAGCCTAACTCTATGACTGTAGAAACTAGAAAGAGAAGAGCAAACTAAGCCTAAACCTAACAGAAGAAAGAAAATAACAAAGATCGGAGCAGAAATTAATAAAATTGCAAGCAGAAAAACAGTAGAGAGCATCAATCAAACCAGAAGTTGGTTCTTTGAAAGGATCGATAAAATTGACAAACCTTCAGCAAGATGGACAAAGAAAAAGACGCAAATAACCAGTGTAAAAAATGAAAGAGGGGACATTACAACCAACCTAATAGAATAAAAAGAATTATGACAGAATATTGTGAACAACTGTATGACAGCAAACTGGATAATCTAGATGAAATGGACAGATTCTTAGAAGCACACAATCTACCCAAACTGACTCAGGAGGAAATAGAATGTCTTACTTAATAGACCCATAACCTGTGAAGAGATCAAATCACTGATCAAAAACCTCCTAACAGAAAACAAGTCCTGGACCACATGGCTTCACTGGGGAATTCTACCAAACATTCAGAGAAAAATTGACACCGATAGTGTTTAAACTCTTCCAAAAGATAGAGAAGGAAGGAATACTCCCTAATTCAGTCTGTGAAGCAAATATAACCCTGAGACCTAAACAAGAAAGAGAAAGACACCACAAGAAAAGAAAATTACAGGCCAATGTCTCTTAGGAATATAGATGCAAAAATCCACAACAAAATACTAACAAATAGAATCTAACAGCATGTGAAAAGAGTCATACACCACGACCGAGTGGGATTTATTTCAGGAATTCAGCGATGGTTCAACATTAGAAAATCAGTCAACATAATACACCACATCAATAGAACAAAGGAAAAGAACCACATGATCATCTCTATGGATGCAGAAAAGGCATCTGATAAAATCCAACTCCCTTTCTTGGTGAAAACCCTAAAGAAGATTGAAATAGAAGGGAAATTCCTCAGTATGAGTCAGGGCATGTATGAAAAGCCAAACAGCCAAACATTATACTTAATGTAGAAAGACTGAGAGCTTTCCCCTTGAAGCTGGGAATAAGACAAGGGTGCCTGCTCTCACCACTTCTATTCAATATTGCATTAGAAGTCTTAGCCAAAGCAATAAGACAAGAAAAAGAAGTAAAAGGTATCCAGACTGGAAAATAAGAAGTAAAATTATCTCTATTTGTGCATGATATGATCTTGTACATATAGAAAATTCCAAAGAGTCCACAAGAAAACTTCTAGAACTAATAGAAGAATTTAGCAAAGTTTCAGGATACAAGGTCAACAAACAAAAATCAACTTTCTGCACACCAATTAATGAGAAGTCTGAAAGGGAAATTAAGGAAACAATTCCATTTACAATAGCATCTAAGAGAATAAAATATCTAGAAATAAATCTAACCAGGAATGTGAAGGACTTATACAATGAAAACTATAAATATTACTGAAAGAGATTAAAGAAGACTTAAATAAATGGAAAGATGTTCCCTGTTCATGAATTGAAAGACCTAATATTGTTAAGATGTCAGTACTACCCAAAAGGATCTATAGATTCAGTGCAGTCTAAATCAAAATTCCAACAGCCTTCTTTACAGAAATAGAAAAACCAATCCTCAACTTTATATGGAATGACAGAAGGCCCCGAATAGCTAAAGCAATGTGGAAAGAATAGAACAAAGTAGGAGGACTCACAATTCCTGATTTTTAAACATACTACACCTACTCCTCCCTCAACGACTATCTCGTTATCGGACATACCACATTTACAAGAATAGTAAAAAATCTACTATCTGACTATTTTACATATTAACAAGCTGGCAGGCATGGCCGCAATGGCTGGGAAGCATCTCCTCCCTCAAGGAGGGTCTCCAGGTGGCCTCCGGGAAGCTGGGCTGCTCTGCCCCATGCCCTCCACTCTCTCCTGCTGGCAAGGGCCCTGTGTCCAGCTGCTACACAGGGCTGGCCTCCTCCATGGCCACAGCCTCCCAGCAAATGCACAGGCAGCACCAAGCCAGTGGGCTCCTGTTCTAGATTCCGAGCTCCTGTGCGGTTTAAGGCCCTGCAGCTCAAATTGCTGTGAGATGGGGAGGGAGGAAAGAAGGAGGCATCGAAGAGGGTGTTTGGAAGAAATGCATGCAAGTTTAATGACACCCTAAAGTGAGCCAAACTGGGCCTGAAACTTCTACCTCAGTGGGTCCGGATGTGTGGCCAGGCTCCCAGTGCCCTCTCAGGAAGCCCTGAGCCTCAGTGACTCACCATGCCCAGAGGGTAGAGCAGGTTCCTGAATCATGAACATAAGGCTGGCGGGGTAGGAGTGGAGCCCTGGAAGCGGCTCCACGAGGGAAGCTCTGAGCCAGTGCAAGAGGAAGGTGAAGTGATGAAGCTGTGGGCTCTCCAGTCACATAGCCCAGCTTTATCCAGCTTTGTCTCCTTCAAGCCTTCTTCTCCACAGAGGAATAATCCATAACTGGACTTGTCATAGTGATGAGCACATCAGTAAATCTTAGCTGTTGTTATTTCTATGATCATGTTTTCTAAATAAAAGAAATCAACAAGTGGATGATCTGAAATCAGGAAAAAAATTCCTCCATTTTTACGTAATGCTGATTTTCCCACAACAACCTGGTCTTGAACCTAACCGTGCCGATAAGTGAGGAGTGGGTGTATATAGCTACAGTAAACCAAACAGCCTGGTACTGATATTACAATAGACACTAGACCAACAGAATAGAATTGAGAGTCCAGAAATAAGCCCACGTTATCTGTGGCCAACTGATTTTTGACAAGGGTACGAAGTCCATTTGATGGAGAAAAGGGAATCTCTTCAATAAATAGTGCTGGAAAAATTGGATTTCCACATGCAAAAAAAATGAAACAGAATCCATGCCTCACACTATACACAAAAACAAATTCAAGATGGGTTAAAGACCTAAATGTGCAAACTAAAACCATGAAATTATTATGAGAAAAAGCAGAGGCCAATGCTGTCAGGCCTAGCTTTCAACAATGGATTATCTAATGTAATAACAAAAACACAGACAGCCAATGACCAAATAAATAAATGGGACCTCATAAAAATTAAAAATTTTTGTTCATCAAAAGACTTTACCAAAAACATGAAAAGACAAGCTACTGACTGGGAAAATATCTTCAGAAACCACATATCCAACAAGAATCTAATAACCGAAATATATATAAAACTTCAACAGCTTAACAACAGAAAGATAAACAACCCAGTCATGAAATGGGCAAAGGGTTTGAATAGACATTTCACCAAAGAGGACATTTACATGGCCACCAAACACATGGAAAGATACTCAGCGTCATTAGCCATCAGAGAGATGCAAACCAAAACCACAGTGAGATACCGTTTCACTCCCACTAGGATGGCTAAGATAAAACAAAACAAAACAAACAAAGTAACAAATGTTGGCAAGGATGTAGAAAATTAGAACCCTTATCCGCTGCTGGTAGGAATGTAAAATGATACAGCCATTGTGGAAAACAGTATGACAGTTCCTCAAAAAACTAAAAATAGAACTACCATATGACCCAGCAGTTCTATTCCTAGTTATATACTCAAAAGACTTGAAAGCAGAGACTCAGAGACTTGTACACCAGTGTTCATTACAGCACTATTCACAATAGCCAAAAGTGGAATTGCTGTCAGTAAGTTTTATACCTGTAAAAAGTTTAATTGGCAAAATTGTGTGATTGATACATTTACAACAACAATAATTTAAAAAAAAAAAAAAACTGCTGAGGTTGCCTACGTACAGTACAGCCAAAACCCTCACGGGATTTGGTTTCTTGGTTAGGGGGTTTAGGGTCATAGTTTCATGGAACACCCCAGTTAATTGGCCTAATAACATGTTTAGTGCTTTTCTACCTCCTAGTTCAATGTGTAGTGCCTGGAATCTTAAAAGCTTGCAGGCGGTCATGCAAAGCACAATAGGTCTCTATTTGCCTGGAACAACAGAAGAAGAAGGAGAGTCAGGAATAGGAAGAGATATGGAATGTATGGCTAATTGTGTCCATGAACAACTGCCTCCTTTGCCATGAGACCAGAAGAACTGGATGGTGCCCAGCTACCATTTACTGAATATTTTGATCAAAGATTTCATAGAAGAATCCTGATCAAAAGGAGGAAAGTACAGAACAGAATTTCAAATTCTCATGGACTCCAGGCTTCCTGGAGTCATAAAGGTTGAATGAACCCCTGAAACTATTGCCTGAGATAATATTTAAACCTCAACCCAAAAATATCCCCTGAAGTCTTCTTCAAACCAGACAGTAGTTTATTTAGCTTAACTAGTAAAAAAAAATTCTGCCTTGAGCATTATGCTCTTTTAATATCTATTTATATGGCATCAAATTGACAACAACAACTCGAAAGATTAGATAAGAACCTTAGGGGGCAGTGGCTTATGTTAGTGGGGGTGGAACAACTCAGAAAAGGAGAGTGAGAATGGTTATACAACTCAAAGAATGTAATCAGTGTCACTAAATGGTACATGTAGAAACTGTTGAATTAGTGTATGTTTTGCTGTGTATATTCTCAACAACAACAACAAAATAAGTCACATTTTGTAAAAAAAAATCTGATAGAGAAAGAAAAATCCGTATCGACAAATTAGTTTTCTTGGAGAATACAATGTTGTTTCACGTTGGCATTAAGTGATAAAACAGGAACTATCCATCAAGTCTTTTGAAGTCTTCCTTAATACTGATTAAGCAACAAAACAGAAGCACTGACAAGAGTATTCATAAGCACTATGGCCTTTCTTGCCTTTTTGTCCTGAGGTTTACATTAGATTACATTAATAAAAGAAAAAAATTAAGTTAGATTTGTCTATTAAATCAGAATATGATGCCCTGGAACATATGGAATGTTATGGAATATAACATGAGGAGGGATCCATTTTTTGTAAATAGTGTTATTAAAACAACACTTCAAAACCATCCTCTTGTATAGCATGCCCAAACTAAATTTAAACTCAGTAATGACTAGAGGTAGTGTTGAGATAAAAGTGAGATGCCGATGACTTTCAGCCCCAATATCTGTTTTAGACCATGCATAGGGAGTGAGTTACCCAGCAAAATACTTTTTTAATTATTAACTGGGCCCTTGGCTCCAAATCCCAATACCAGGCCAGACCTTGACAAAGAAACTGTTTTTTCCCCACCAATGCTCAAACCCAAGTTTGGAACTTGACCAATTGAGTAAGTCAGAAATCTCCACCTACCTGGGGTAAAATAAACCCCAGATGAGTAAGATGGAGTTTTCCTCTCCTTGCCTAGTGCCACGCTGGCCAATGGTGCAGTGGCTAAGAGATCGGCTGCTAACCAAAAGGTCGGCAGTTCGAATCCACCAGCCACTCCTTGGAAACCCTATGGGGCAGTTTTATTTTGTCCTATATATGAGTCGGAATCAAGGTGATGGCAACTTTTTTGTGTGTTTTTGTTGGGGGCGGGGGATAGAAGAAACCCGAGATGAAGAGCGGGAGAGAGTTTTCCCCTCCTTGCCTAGTGCCAAGCTGGCCAATAACATCCACCGAAGGGCTTCTCTGACTAGGACGTTAGCTCTGGGCCCATTTGCTAAATGAGTGAGAAAGTGTATCAGAGAGAGAGGTCTCCCACTCCATCTAAAATAGAAGGGGGAGTGATATGTCCATGTCTGCTTCGTGGTTTTGCCAAATATGGAGATAATCTTTTAGGACTGACTGCTCTAATGTTAGAAAAATCCATGACAAGAAACCAATTAATCCACTTGTACCTCCAGAGAAGGGAATGGGGTTTGGGATGGAGGGGAAGAAGGATGGATATCAGAAGCGTTTTTAACGTTTAACTGTGCGACTTGATCATTTGAACTGTTTACACTTAGAATGTGTTCATGTATTATTATGTCATTAAGGAAAAAAAGAGGAAAAGAATCTTATTTTGCCAGGTAACGCAGAGGAAATGTCTTTAGGGGCAGACATCAGGGCATAGCAAAGGCTTGTTCCCGGCCTGGCTGAAGCACGCTGACATCTGAGTCGCGGGAGCGTGTGGTGGTGGAAGGTGGGCTGGAGGGGTTGGTTGGGTCAGCTTATTAGGCGTCTTACTTTCCAGTCTAAGGAGTTTGGACTGTATTCATACGTGGTGAGGGACCAGTTAAAGTTGAAATACTGTTTTCAAAAATAATAAGCAAAGCAAAAACATTCAAAGACATTTTTGAACAAGGCTCCTCTATCACTTCAACACTTTTTTAAAATATTCTAGTCTTTATTCATAGGCACCTTTTTTTTTAACCTAGTTGTAATCAGTCTGTATATAATTTTCCATCCTGTTTTTTTCGCCTAATCTTGCAATAATTTTCCGTATTACTGTGGAAACTATTAAGTAAGGATTTGTGTTTCAGAAAGACAACCCTGGCAACAGTATGGAAGATGGATTTGATGGGAAGAAATTTAACATGGGGGGTTAATAGAGTAGGAAATGCATTCAAGAGAGGTTTAGGAAGTATTGCTCTGAAGAATCTTGGAAATAGAACTTAGCACAAACAGGCAAGTCCCCTCCAGAGCCAACCTTGTGAAGCTGAGAGCAAGACTTTTCCCCTCAGCCAAATAGAAATGCTGCCTGATTCCTCTTGGAAAGCCCTCCCCCACCATCAATATTTTTCACTAGCCTCAGAAATCTGGCTCCGTTTTGAAGTAGGCTGGACCCTAAGAGGCTTTGCAGAGAGTGACCCAGTGTTGATTGATCATCGCAGTGCACGAAAGCAGTTGTGTTTGTGCTGAGCAGCACGTGCGTGGAGCTCACAGGGAATACTGTTGTGGTGTCCCTGCCTTTGGTACTTAGCCAGTTACCCCAGTGGTCAGGAGTAGATGTGTGATGATAGAGGTTCTGAAAACTGTTCCTTGAATAAAATATTATTAAATTATTACAGCAAAGCACATTAATTTTTAAAAGTGGAGCCCTGGTGGCACAGTGATTAAGAGCTCCGCTGCTAACCAAAAGGTTGGCAGTTCGAATCCACTAGCTGCTCCTTGGAAACCCTCTGGGGCAGTTCTTCTCTGTTCGTAGGGTTGCTATGAGTCAGAATTGAGTGGATGGTTTGGTTTTGGGTTTACTTAAGATTACTTTCATGGTAATATCTCTGGAAGGGAGCCTAGACTGTTCAGAGAGAGTCAGGAGATTCTTGCTGCTGCCTCCAACCTCCTGATTCAACTTAGGGCAAGCCATCGAATCTCTCTGGTGCCTAGCTTCTCACCTGAAAAGTCATAGGAATTTTTAACCCTGAAATGCATATGCTACCATTTCAGCAATACCTTTTCTTTTTGCTGGGGAGAAGATACAGTTTTCATCTGTGGTAGCTGATAGAATAATATACCATAAGTTGCACTGATAGAATAATATACCGTAAATTACACTTTGGCAGTAATATCATAGGGGCCATCACTAAATATGATTAGGGAAGATGGTGAAATGGTTACCACTCTAAAAAGCCTTTGTTAAAATCTTTACTTTGGTTTTAAGGTTACTTTGATCAGTTTTCGAAGAGGCATTCTAATCTAGTTTGACTTTTGTTTAGCAGACTGGTAGAATTACAGTCAGACCAAGTAGATAGCAGGAGAGCAGGGTGAGTAAGATTTGGGGAGAACACCAATCGCTTCTTTCTTCTTCTCTTCTATCCCCACTTCCTCTCTCCCCTCCGTTCCTCCTCCTTCCCCTCCTCCTCCTTTTTCTTCTTGGAGAGGAGACAACCCTTATATCTTAGTATAGTAGATAGTACTGTAACAGATTTTAGGTATCAGTTAATCCTGTGTATTTTTAGATGTTTTAAAACTGTTTGAAATACTACTTTTGTAAAATCTCACTTTAAATTTTAACTTCCTTTTTATTTAAAAAAAAACTGTTAAAGCTGTTCAGTGTCATGAAAAATGGTTATTTTCTAGCTTGTTTTAAAAAACCTTTATGAATTTTTCTGTAGCTTATTTATACAAAGATGCATTCCTTGCCTTTTTTCAAAAAGGATATAAGGTGACTTGATTTGCTACTTAATATTAAATCATCTTTGAATATTCTTTTTTTTCCCTTAAAGTCACGGAACATTTTACGTAGTTGAAAGAGTTAGAAGGAACTACAACATAGTAAATTTCTGTTAGAGGCTCCACAGTAGTGAAAACAAACTGATGAAAGGGCCTAGGAAAGCCTTTGCTCCACATACAGTAAAGCACGGCCTTACTTGGGCCTCCGTGAAGTTTTGTGTATTCTTTGCATATATATAAGTAAGGGTCTTTGGTGACTTTTGTATTTGATTTTAATTTCTGAGTAAATAAAGTTTTTTAAAAAGTGAGTTTATGTTATATTGGCATATTGTCTATTTAAAAGAAACCACTACTGTCTACTGAAAAAAAAAAACACTTTTGTTTCCACAGAAACCTGCTAATATTTTAGTTATGGGTGAAGGTCCTGAGCGAGGAAGAGTAAAAATTGGTATGTTATATCTTTGATAAGTCACAGTGTAGCACTCTTTTAAAACTTTTGCAGGCAGCTATATCACTTCTAATTTTTGCTGTAATAACATGCATATATTTGTATAGTTCCATATGATGGGAATGATTTCTAAAGAGTATATTAAAAGTGAAAAATGTTTCACACTTTTCAAAGGTGTCAGACAATCTTTAGAGATGGAAGCATTCTAATTATAAAACAAGCCTTGCAAGTGTCTTAGAAACCTCTGCCTTCATTAAAAACAGCCTGTAGAGGTGAGTGGCTTCTATCCATGTTAGCAGCCAGCCTCACCTTCAGTACAAGGGCATACAGGATACTAATGCTTATACCATCAGTTCTGTTCACCTAAACCAGATTAGATCAAAACATGTACCTCTATTGACCTAGTCTAGATGAGGAATTAAAATGCTAGGGGAAAGCCATGGAGGCTTGATAGATACAGAGCCTTAAGTTCTAACAAGACTGTCCTTTAGTAGGCCTCGGCCTGTTGAAAAAAAACAAAGTAATGGACATTCTGTACCTTGACATGTTTTCTAATAGCTCTGTTTTCTTATGTCTCAAAGGAAATTTTACCTCTTTCTGGTCTGATAATCTGTAAGGATAGAACTAAAGTTATTTATCCTCATTTGTTATTTTTTTGCCATTGTCATTTCCAAGTTGTGTTTGTCGCATACATTTAGTTCGTTTTGTGTGTGAATAGAAGAAATGTAACTAAATTGTCATATTAATTTAAAGGCAGCAGGATTGTGAGAGTATGTAACAAAATTAATTGTAATTTCTGGTTGCAAGATTGAATTAGAAGTATCAGCTGATTTGTACCACTCCACCAATTAAGTAAAACCTTAGGTATTCTTAACCCTTCTTCCCTATCTTCCGTTATAAATCCCCAAATCCCACTTTCCACTCCTAATTAGACTCTCAAAATATTCTTGTATGACATAAACTTTGAAAATTTTTTGGTAGTGGGAGCATTCAGTACACTTCTGAGGACTTCAAGCCATTGACCTCCTTTGAGAGCCAGGCCCTGTCAGTAGGCATTGTAGTGTCAGCAGGTGCCTGGTAAGTCCTTACATGTGCTTTTAAAGGATTCTGTCAAGTTTGGTGACATCAAGTTCAAGTGGAGGTTCAAAGCATGCAAAATAAAGAAAAGACCCAGCCCAACAGTAGTTACAAACATGTTTTTTTGCTGTAACATTTAGAGAAAATTTATTAAAATAATCTAATCTAGAATTATACTTTTGTGTAGAATATATAATGATAGCAGGTGTGGGAGACATTAATGTGTTAAAACATTCACATTTAAGAAGAATATTAGTGCTTCTCTAATAAACCAGTTTTTAGTAATCTGACTCATGGTTTTAAATGTTTACTAAATTTCTATTTTTTTTTTAAAGTTCCATAATTAAGTAGATTAGATTAGGACCTACTTCATTAAAAATGTATATTAGGACAGAAGAGCTAAACTTATCAAATGGATTAATCTTAAAATTTTTGAATATGATAGGAATAGAGATTGTTTATTCAACATTTATTAGGCAACAGCTACATGTAATGACACTATACTGATACTATAAGGGATAGAGAAATGAAAGACAATTTTTACCTTTAAAATTATAGTTTGGTAGGATAGCCATGCCTAAATAACTATATTACATGTTAAACTGTTTCAGATGTCATAAACTGTGTCTAAACTCAGTACCAGCTCTAAGGTGTAGAAGTTTATGACCTTTGTTAACCACTTAACTTCTTCTGACCTCAGTTTCCTTGTTTGAAGAAGGTGATTGCATTAGATGACCTTCGAAGTCTTTTCCAGCTTTTAAAAAAACAAACAATGATTCTTTAAAATTAAGTTAATGAAAGTCAACCCAAATAAATGGGGAGAAACAGTGGTCTTAAAATACTGTCTAGGAGTCTTCTGATTAGCTCCAACAGGCTCTTCAGGCTGTGGATGCAAAAAATTGAACATCATGCTGATAACCAGTCCTGTTTCTCAATGCCTGTGACCAGTACAAAGAATGGAAATGCAGCTTAACAACCCTGTCCATGCTGGTGGTGTGACAGATGGAAGGAAATCTGCCCAGGGGAGTAGGGTCACCCTTGTCCTCAGGCAGCCGAGCTTGTGGGTCACCACTTGAAGGGTTAGTAAATGTTTGCAAAGAATGAAGATCTCAGACTGGTTTTATATTTAGACTTCTGAAAGGAGTGAGATACTTTATGAAAGTTTTTTCCCCATAAATTCAGCACATTTTTCATATTTTACTAAATGAAATGGTAAAATTAGACTACTCAATTAAATTTGTAAAAATATTTACTTAGCATTATGTCTTTTATTTTACAGCTGATATGGGCTTTGCCCGATTATTTAATTCACCTTTGAAGCCTTTAGCAGATTTGGATCCAGTAGTCGTAACATTCTGGTACCGAGCCCCAGAACTACTTCTTGGAGCAAGACATTATACCAAAGCTATTGGTGAGTAGAACTTATTAAAATTTCATGACTTTTAAAAAGTGGCTCTGTTGTTGTAAAAGATACATATTTTGATATATCTTTAAATCAAATAATATAGAAAATTATAAAAGTAAAAACTAACCCAAAATTTCATTGCTCAGAAATACCATCATTAGCATTAGGGGAATATCATTCCAGACATCTCTCTTTCTACATAGAAAAATAGATGGATATTAAAATTTTTTTTTTTTTGATAAGTGGAATCATACTATGCATTTTTTCCTTTAAATAAGTTTTTAATTTTACTTGAAAAGAGAAATAAAAACATTAACATTTGAAATCATTAAACATCAGACAAATGTTTCTTTCACCAAAAGAAATACTAGCATGTAAAGGGCTCTCCTAAAGAAAAGAAAAAAAGATTATGAAAAAAAATTTAGTTTAAAAACTTTTAATCCACTTTTCAAATTTTGATAGTATTATCTCCTTATTATGAAGAATTAGTATAGGCTCTTATACTTCTTCCCCCACCAGCCTCTCGGTTGATAAACTTATTATTAGGCAGTGTTTACAACATTTGTTTTCTATTTGCAGGTCATAATTCCTGCAGTTGTTTATACATGTTATATATTGTAATGAACAGTGCTCAGCTATCACAGCTTCTTCATTACTGACATCTTTTTTTCTGCTTCATCTTCTTTTGTTGAGTTTTATCTTGTGCACTTTGTCTTTCTTTTTTCCTTCATTGTGTGTCTTTATTGCCTCCCTAACTTATTCTAAATTCTCTAGGATAGAGTTAAATCCACTCTTCTCTTACCAGGGTGACCCCATCCTGGTGTCTTCTGTCCTTTCTCTCCTCGATCAGGCTCCAGGCTTACTATGCCGTTTCATCCTGGCTTTTCCCTTTTTTATTCCTCTGGATTGCATCTGTTGCTTCCTGGATCCTATGATTTCATCCCTTGTATTGCTAGAACATATTCTTAAGTAAACTTCCTTTAGAAAGGGTATCTTAGAGGTAAGTTTTCTAGTTTTCACATTTCTGAAAAAATGCTTTTATTATACTTGACAGTTGGGCCAGGTTTAAAATTCTAGGTACAAAATCATTTTCCCTTAGAACTTCCATGATACTCCAGCTGGCTTCTCATTTGTTGGCAGATTACCTGTCATTGCTGATTTTTTTTTTTTTTTTCCTTCCTTTTCTTTCTTGAAACAAATAAGATTTCTCATCCTTAAATTTCACAGTGATGTGCTGGCTGTATTATCCACTCCGTGGTAGGTGTATTCAGTCTGAAGTTCATATCCTGTATCTGTAGAAAATTCCCTGTACTAGTCCCTTGGTTCCCTCCTCTGTGTTTTCTATGTCTCTAGTTCCTAAAATCTTATGATTAGATGCTGGCCATCTTGGATTTACACTTTATACCACTCTTCTTATATTTTCTATCGTTGTTTTATTTATTTCTAAGAACCTCTTCTTACCCTCTGATTATTACTTTTTTCATAACATCTTGTTCATTTTTTAATACAAAGAAAAACTTCTTAAATATCTGTGAGAACAGCAATAGCAGTATTTTTTGTTTGTTATGTAATTTTTGGTATTCCCTGAATAGTTACCTGTATTTTCTTTATAGTCATTCTTTTTGTTTGTAGGTCTTGCTCCCTCCTTTCCATGTGGCAAGCATTCTTTAACTGTTTGGTGACTCTTGATTGTCTCTTCTTATTTAGGAATAAGTTTACAAGAAGCCACATGGAAACTTTGTGCACATAGGCATGAAGACTGGCAGACTTGACTTTAGGGTGATCCCACAGAGAGCCACATTTCCTGGGGACCCTAAATGCCAGAATGCCCAGCTGCGCTCTGAATTGCAGTTCTCTAGGGAGGAATTCTCTCAGGAAGAGTCCCAGTTTTATCTCTGCCTCGAACAGGTCTTCATATGGTCTTCTTTTCATTCTGGTCTTAGTCAAAATACTACCTCTTCAAAGAGAACTCTCTTGATCATACAGTCTAAAGCAGCACCTCTGCCACCTCCATCACACTTCCATTGTATTATCTTCATAGCATGGGACATTATCTACTGGCCACTAAAATAGATAAACCTTGCCTATCTTATTCACTATACAGGCCAGTGCCTACATGGCACGTAGTAAGAACTCAATATTGTTTGTTGAGCAAATGAGTGAATCTTGCCCCTGATGTTGTTACTGTGCATCATTACTTTTCTTTTATTACTTTACTGCCATTTTAATGTGGACACAAGAAGGAGAAAAGAGAAATGCTTATCATCATTCCTCATATTAATGTCTTTTTCAAAAAATCATTATGTTATCATCATGCCTGCTTTGAGGTCACATTTTATTTTATAGAAAAATAAAAATGGTTAAAGATAAGTCAGTTAGATGTGAGAATTCTCTGTACTATCTTTGCAACTTTTCTATAAATATAAAATTATTTCAAAATAAAAAAATTTATTTAAAAGAAGAAGTCAGTTAGGGGGAAAAGTAAAAATGATTGAAGCTAGTCCTGTTTTTGAATACATATTACTACCTAAACACACATTTGAATATCTTTTTTGCAGATATATTCTAAATGTATTTAAGAAACATACATGAACTAATATAAGATAGCTTTTTTTTTTTTTACCTAGAAAATGAATATCTAAAAGCAGTGTTACTTTTGGTAAGACATATTAACAGACTACACAGATAAGCAAGTGATTCCCTACTTTTAGCTGCTGTTAACCTGAGACTGAACAGATGATTTAAATTGAGTAAAACATAGATTATCAAAGAAGCTTGTAAGAAGCTTGTGACTCTGGCTTTATTACCGTATTTTTGTGCAAATAATGTGCACCTTGTGCATTTGATTGCTGCCTGCAACCTTCCCCCACACACAAAGTATTTTTGTAAGTGTGCTATGCTAATTTGTTTTTTACAGCAACATGTGGTAGAGGATTGGCACAGTGACACTTGCGAGGGTGCCTCGTGGGGGGAGGGCACGGCCAGCAAACGCAGAAGGTGTCCGTTATTTGTGTAAAAATACTATATCTTTTTTTTCTCCTAAGTAACATATTTTATTGTGACCATTAAGATTTATATAATTTGCTATTCATTAGGACATTCTACATGTCAGCAGTTTAATTCAGGGCTATTAGCCACAAAGCTAAACCTGCCAGCTGTTAAAAAGGTGGATTTCCCCATGTTCAAATGGCTTTATAATTTGGGAAAGAGAAGGCTTTTCTTCATGTTTTTCTTCCTCCTCCTGTTTCTCATCAACATCCAAATTTATTGGGTAACTCTTTAAAACTTAGGAGAAACCAAAATGAAATCCAAATTCTGGGTCTCACCCTTAAGAGGTTTACAATCCAGTTGAGAAGACAGCATGTACAATGGAAGTAACAAAACTAGCCCTGTGAGTTCTAGTCTTAGCTCTATCACTCTGTGTAGCTGAGTTTGTTTTAGGCAAGGCATTTAATCCTTTACCCTTATTTTCTGAAAATGACAATGTAGTCTGAATCATCTCTTAAATCCCCTTCAGCTCTAAAAATTCTATGACTTTAAATAAAAACAACAATATGTAGATCAAGCCACCTTATATTGAGGGCCAACTGACAGCTGTGGAAGTTCAGAGGAGAAAATAACCCTGTGGCCGGGGTTCCAGAGACCAGCACAGAGGAGGATGGCCTGGTAAACTGCAGCACAGGGCAGGCTTGGAGGACCAGGACCTGGAACTCTGAAAATAGGCCTACTGAGGGAGAGAGGACACAGAAGGAACCCACGCAGGTGCAAATGGTTGAAACCAAGGTCCCTAGTGTCCACCCCTCAGCAGTGATGTCTGGTGTGAGCCTGACTTGACCAAGCTCAATCTTAGAGAACACTTTTCTTCCGTCATATCATTGACTTAAGGAAGTTATAATGTGGGTGACAAATCAACCAGTTGTTTTTTTGTCTGAGATTTGTCTCTACACATCACACATAAACCATTTTAATGTTGATTTAAAAAAATAAGAATGAAAACTTCTTCCTCAAATCCAGCCCTCTACCACACAGTCCCGTTCCTCCTGTTACCTGTGCAGGTAGCCTTAAGGGTTCATTGAAGTACTCAACAAATTCCCCACACCACCATTAAAGCTACTTCACTAGCATTTTAACTTCCCTGTCTGTTTGGGAGTCCCTGGGTGGTGCAAACTCAGCTGCTAACTGAAAAGTTATTGGTTCAAGTCTACCCTCAGGTGTCTTGGAAGAAAGGCCTGGCCGTTCTCTTTTGAAAAGTCGTTCATTGAAAACCCTCTGGAGCACAGTGCTACTCTGGCACACATGGGGTCGCCGCAAGTCAGAGTCAACTCAGCAGCAACTGGTTATCTGACAATTGTAATGTGAACAGCTGCTGATAGAAGTTATAGTTGAACATAAAAATAATTTGCTGAATACATTCATGTGTTCATTTTAATGGCATCGTTTAGAAAGGTTAGATGTTAGTGGAATTAGGTACTTACGTTAAACGGAAGGCTATTAAGTGCAGCAAAAGAGGATAGGGGTAAAAATCTGATCTGAACAAATCAAACGCACATGTGCCCACCCTCTACTACAATCAGATGGTAGTGTGGCCTTTGTTTATTCAGTTGTCAGAACTGCAAGCTGAGTTACTAGACCAGAGAGAGGAAGTGTGGGCTCGTCAGCATTGCAATCCCGGGGACAAAATTTAATTCTGTTTTAAGGGTTGTTATTTTTATTCGTTTGATTTAGGGGAGAAGGCTAAGAGAGGGGTATCAGTCTTTAATTAATTAATAGCCACTAACCAAAACCAATACATAGCGACCCTATAGGACAGAGTAGAACTGCCCCTTAGGGTTTTCAGGGAGCGGCTGGTGGATTTGAACTGTTGACCTTTTGGTTAGCAGCAAATGCTTAACCACTGTGCGACCAGGGCTCCAATAGCCACTAAAGCAGTCTTAAAAGTTTTACTAAATCACCTCAGGTAGAGAATTTTTTACATAATTGTTTTCAACATGCCTGTGTGGCCTTTTCAGCTCAGGTGTTTGTCCTCAAATATCTGAATGCCAGCGGAATTCTATTAAGTGGCAAATGCACAATAAAATAGAGAAAAAGATAATTTACTTTCTTTTATCAAAATAGAAACTTGCTATTAGTACACTTATGTTTAAAATATTATTTAGCAAATCTGCCTTTTTTCCCCTAGTTTGGTATATGTAGTGTATCAGTTATTATCCACTTTGCCTAGTTCACTCACTAGCTACGTGTGAGCATTACAATTTTTGAGAATTGGATGGGACTTAGGTAATGTTTATAATTTGGAGAGTCTTTTTAGAAGAAGTTAGGCAGGTAGGTGAGCAGGATAGAAACTTTCAAAACATGAATTCTGAAAAAGATATATGAGATAGGGAAGAGAAACTTACTTGCGCAGAAGTGGAATATTTGCTTGAAATAATCTGCGTGATCAGCTGACTCAAAGTTCATGATTAATGTGTGGATCAGTATTTTGAAGAAAGAAAGGATGGTGAAATTGATAAAGGTGAATGATAATAGGGGAGATACAAATAAAAGAGGTTACTGGGGTGAGATTAAGCAAGGTTCATAAACCATTTTTTCCAACTTCCCTGACTTTCTGTTTTAAAAGTAACATTGCTTTAAGGATTGCTATCTATTTACTTACTCTCATCTTCGTCTATATATTTTATTTTCTTTTTTGGAATTTTTCTTAATTAACCAGAACAAGTTGTTACAGTTTTTCTTGGGTGCCACGAGTTTTAAATATGCAGAATGATCCATCAGCCTTTTTTGTGTTCTTAAGATTGTCAAAGGTCAGGTTTATGTGTGGTACCCATGTAAAAAGAATATTAAAAACAAACTATAGTTTGACCTGCATTTCTTAATGAGACTTTTTCATATTATGTTATTGGCAACATTTGGTTCTCTGATATGGGATGAAACTGGTATGCAAACATGGTGCCTTTTTTTTTTTAATCAGCTGCTAGTAGTCAAGATGTGTAATCTTTAAGTAAATAGATGATTAACTTGTTGCTTTGAAATGTAAATGTGATAATCTTATATTAAATTAAGTATCTATATTCCAGTTTTGGAGTTTAAGAATTCTCAGTTATTTATTCACTAATGTTTTTTTCTTTTTTTCTATTTAAGTCACAGCTATTGACATACCTGAACACTCAGTTTTAATAAAGTAGTGATTTTTATTTGTCTCCCTATAGTTATTTATATTTGCCACAGGTATTAGTTAAATCAGTCAGAAACCATCTACTGAGTGTCTGCTGTGTGCACATCATTGTAGTCTAGAGAAATTAACTTTGTCAATTAAAGGAGTTGTTAAGAGTAGAAATGAAATATTTTAAGCTAAATTAGTATGTCGATCTTTCCTTTACTAATAGTTCTATTGAGTAAAACTTGAATATGAATGAAAGTAAGCCTATATCTTAAAGTGAATTTATCTTCTATACAGAGAAGTTGATTTGCCTGGCCTTCATAAATAATTCCTATGAACTTAAAGCCTTCTTTACCCATTTTAAAGCCTTCTTTACCCATTTGCTCCCTACTTTGTTTTGTTTTTTTTTTTGTCCTTCTTGTTAAATACTTGTTAAACTGACAAAATCTGACACTGCTGTAGCATAAAGAAACACTTTGAAAGAAAAACAGTAGAAATGCTAAGTTTCATTAGAATATTTGAGGTTAGGCATTGCCTTTTTCTTGTTGGAATAGCACCTTGCTAATTAGTGCTAACATGGAGGGATAATTCTTAGGCTTTACAAATTGTTGATTAAATAAACATATAGAGAAAAATTATTTTATAACAAAATTTGCACTGTTTTTTTTTTTTGGCAAGAATGGCTAATTACAAAGGCTGTTTGAGTTTTCTGTTTGTTTATTTTATGTTCAGTTTTGTTTGTGGTTCCAGTGCTTATGTACAGTTTTGTGTGGTCATGTTTGGGGCATTTAAAAACTCACCAAAAATCTCAGCTCATAAATTTGATGTAGACATGGAATGAAGCCACTGAGTGGGGTGGCAGTATAACAGAGAATGAAAAATGGGGGAGGAGGGCATATATTTACAAATAGTGTTCCGTGATACTTGGTAATTGTAATTGCATAGGAATTATAAAGAAAGAGAAAGAAAAAAACACTCCCCACCAAAATAAAAATGTATTTTCTTTTGGAAAGAACCACTTTATTTTCCTCCTTTCTTTTTCTTTTCTCCTTTCCCTTTTTTTTTTTTTTTTCCTTTTCCTTTTTTTAAATTTTTTTTATTTTAAAGATATTTGGGCTATAGGGTGTATATTTGCAGAACTACTAACGTCAGAACCAATATTTCACTGTCGACAAGAGGACATCAAAACTAGTAATCCTTATCACCATGACCAGCTGGACAGAATATTCAATGTAATGGGATTTCCTGCAGGTACACATTATGTTTTTTTTTTTAAATCACTGTTGTTTGAACTTAGATATCCTCATTAGAAAGCTGTGTATTTTTAGCTGATGAAAGCTAGTCTTATTCAATTCTTTATTTTTGTGGCTTGCATTAATCAAAGATCCGTAGAAATAGTAAAATTTGTGGAATCCACATATTAGCATAAAAATATTTATGGGTTTCCTGAATTTGAGGAATATATTTTTGTTTTGCTTTTTTGTTTTGTGGTTTAATACTTGAAATGATAAATTATTTGCAATATATATATATATAAAAGGTACCTTTAGTTTTTTCTTAACAGTGGAAACTATAAATAAAATTCAATAGCTATGAATTTTTTTTATGGCAACACATATAATACTGCCATTATTTGGCACTGGGATACAAATGTTGAACATTATTTCTGTTTAGGGCACTGTACAGAATTGCATTATATTGAATAGTAGCATTTCTGCTCTATCACCCTTGTCAATAAGAACCTTCTTTTAAGTGTTGATTAGAGCAGTCAGAACATAGGTGAAAGGCTAGTCCTCCACAAGCCAGCCTGCCTGCTCTGCGGCACAGAGAAGTTGCTCTGGTGTCTCACCACTGATGTCAGATCTCTCCCACTATGCCCCAACCCCTAGCTCTACCACAGAAGGGCAGCTCATCAGTCACCACAAAATCTGTTCAAGGGTCCAGAATAATGAGAATTTGTTTAATCTCAATAATTTTGGCTAGTCAAGTACCTGTTAGAAATTGTTTCTTATCAGGAATATTTCTCAAGTCACGGTAACTAAAGACTAACGCAGAAATATCCCTGAGTTCTAATTGCACAGTCCCTTTTAAGGGTGTTAATTATGACTAAATACAGAGTAATTATACGGAGATATTACCTTTCTCCAAAATTGGCCAACAGTTCACTAAATATATCTTGAATACCTGCCACTACCAGGCTCTGGATTAGGTATAAAATATTTACAGTACATCAGACATGATTCTTACCCTCATGGAGTTTACATTGTACTGCTGTAAGTAGAATCTTTAAAGAATAAGGATGGCTTGAGTTGATGAGAGGAATGGCCTTTTCTTTCACTTCTGAATTCACCCACCATTTCTAATGCCCACAAGGAACATGGCTTATGAGAGGGTGGGAGTTGGAAGGGCCTTTATAGGAGATGATTCTTAATATGTGGTTCAGTAGTTAAGGTGGGCTCAGTTTATAAGGAACCTTGAAAACCAGGCAGCAGAGTTTAGATTTGATATGCTAAAGAATGAGAATCCACAGTAAGTTCTTGAGTACTAGTGACATGATTTATGTTATGTTTTAGGAAAATTAGTCTGGCAGTGGTAGCAAAAACCAAGTAAAGAAGAAAGGTGACTGAAATCAGGGAAACCAGCTGCTTGACCAGCAATAGCCAGGCATAAAGTGAGAATCAGGATGAAGAATAAAGGACAAATGTAAACATTTCTATAGGAAGTGTGTATTTGAAGGAAGAGTAAAAGATGATCTCAAGATTTCTAGCTTGAGAAATTGACAAAATAGACAAATTGGAGCATGGAAATAGCTAAGGAGAAAATTCCATGTAGGAGTTTTAAAGTACATGTTTCATTTACTTTACAATATGTGATATCCGTGGAGGATAGGTAGCAAATATTTTTACCAGTAAGTTCAATGAAAAACAAACCTATAAAAGCTATTTAAAATCTTAAAGGTGCTGTTAAGCTACCTGTTACAGTGCTGTGCACCTAGTAGACTCACCGTGAAAATCGACTGACAGTGGTGGAGAAAACAAGGTATCTAGGATGAAGCAGCTCTAATTCTAGGAAAACTCATTGAAGCATTTTGTACTCACCTATTTAGTAGCCGGAGTTGTTTCTGGGAAAGGTTATTGAAACTAGCCAAGGCATCAGCTGACCTGTGTAACGAAATGCATTTAATAAGGTGAAAGTAAGAAGGGCCATATCATAAAAGAAGTTAGTCTTCAAACTACTGAAGGGGGAGAGCTTACTTTTATCATTAAATAGATTGATTGCTGATTTAACCAAGAAATTGGTGAGAAAGGGTGGTTTTAGAAATATTTACTTATAACCTACTTGTTTGTAACTTACTCCCCTTGAGTTACAGAAATTGAAACAGCTTATGGTAAAACATACAGAAAGTCGGCAGCTAAACTTATAAAGATTAAGAGAGATACCTAAAGTTATACAGGGAAAGCAGAATTGGATTTACAATTCAAGATAAGATGTTTACTGTGGCTGAGTGTTTGTTTGAAGTCTTTTGAGTTTTCATGAAGAATTTATAGGAAATATAATGAAAAGTGAAGTAATCTTTATTAAAATTCTTGAGAGCAGCAACCTAGACAACATCAAAACTTATCAATGTATTTCGCAGATAAAGATTGGGAAGATATAAAAAAGATGCCTGAACATTCAACATTAATGAAAGATTTCAGAAGAAATACGTAAGTTTGAAAGAAAATAGATTTTTTTGTTATTTTTGCTTTCCTAGTGTCACAATAGAATACTCAATATCAGATTTTCTAATAAGTAAGTTTACTTATTTACTCTAATAAGTATTTTACCTTATGACAAGTCTTCTTTTTTCATACTACTTTCTAGAAACTAGACATCAGTGTAGAATAACATAGCTGAAGAAATAAGAGACTAAAATGAACTACCCTTGCTAACCTAGGTTGTGTAGTAATTTTAAGCAAGTTAGAGAAGAATGAAGATTTCGTTTATTTACAATGCAGAATCAGGGAATTGAGAAGAGGAGTTTATAGACCTATAACTGCTGTATTTTAAACTTACTGGTAAGGCTGAGTTAAACTTTGGCTCATACATTTGAAACAAGGCCATTATTATAAATTATCTTAAAAGATAATTCATTGTGAAAAAACTTTTTAGTAGATGATTTTCATGAAAAGTGTCCTGCATTTAATCAGTGATGTCCACTCAAAAGTGACTACTGTGGATATTGAATGAAATATGAATGCTGGTCTTTTATATGCTGATCACTATTTTCCATGTATATTTTATATTAGTTTTGATCAAAATTGATCAATTATGATCAAAATAATTCTGTTTGGAAGGACTTTGGCCAATGTGAAATTAACCTCAAATCTAATATAGATATTTTATGGTATCTCTCTTTCAGGTATACCAACTGCAGCCTTATCAAGTATATGGAAAAACATAAAGTTAAACCAGATAGTAAAGCATTCCACTTGGTAAGCTTTAGATGATAGCACTAATGAAATGCATTTTTTCCCTAACTGACTATCGCAACCTGAGGCTTTTTGTGGTCAGGATGTATATTACTCAGCACTCTTAGAGTGATTTAGTGGGAAATGCAGATGTCTTGTGGATGCATGCCGGTGAAGGTATCAGAATATTTGCTTTTCTAAACCCGTTTCATGCTTTGACCAAGTGTTAGATTTTCTAAAGGTAGTGATCACAACAAAAAGGAGATTTATGAGGAGACTGTATTCAACTATTGCCAACTTAAATGTTTACCAAAACATTTCCATTGTTATACTATAATGTTTAAAAATCTTTTTCAGTTTTATGTTTTCAAAAAATGGTTTATAACATATAAAAGGGGGGTTTGGGAAGCAGATTGTTTTTTGCTTGGCTTAAATTTTTTTAATTTCGTGATTCACAAGTGTTTTAAAATGGTTTCATTAAATGGGAACTCTTTTACCTTGAAGAGTTACACCAGATCACACGGCACACATTTCTTTTATTTCTGTTTCTTCTTCTGCTTCTACATCTTAATTATTTTATGCCATATTGTACATTTTATTGTATATTTCATAGCTTATGAGCAATTTAAAAAGCAGTGCTTAGCCTATCATATTACCACAATGCATTATACAAATAATGGTTTATTATGATAAACTAACTTACAACAGGATCCAGATTGGAAGGTTAAGTTAGATGCTTCAAAATTATGGGCTTAATTATTCTGACGAAATAATGATAGTCATAGTAGAGTAGAAGTCATGATTTTCAGGAATTACTCTTAATTCCCCCCAATTTCTTGCTGCTCATTGTAGTCTGAGAAGAGCCTCACTTCCATCACCACTGAAATGCTCTTAGAGCTATACCTCTCTTATAGCGGATTTGCTTGTTTTACTGGGGTGACCTATCTCAATTGCTGGTAATGTTGAGTGGTCCCATCTGAAAGCTCTATTATAACTCCATTAAAAAGTGTGGTTGTTTTACATAGACAATCCAGGCTTCTCAACCCTAAAATGAAAATCGTCCTTCCACTGAAATATCAGATCATCAAAGTTGAATTTGAATCTTACCTTCCCAGCATTTCATTTACATATTTAATCTTTTTTGTCTGTCGGTTCTCTAAAATTTGTCTTCTCCCATTAAGTTTTAGTGTGTTTATTCGTTTACTGGCTTTCAAACTGTGGCTCCCTGTCCAGCAGCATCAGCATCACCTGGGAACTTGTTGGTAATGCAGATTCTGGGGCTCCTGCTCAGACCTGCCAACCAGACACTGTGGGATGGGACCCATCAGTCTGTCTTAAGAGGCCCCCCAGGTGATTCTGATGCATGCTAAAGTTTGAGAATCGCTGTCCCATTGCCCATTGGCTTTAAGTCAATTCTGACTCATAGTGACCTATAGGATAGAGTAAAACTACCTTATAAGGTTTCCTAGGCTGTAATCTTTACGGAAGCAGACGGCCCCATCTTTCTCCTGTGGAGCAGCTGGTGGGTCAGTCTTTCGGTCAGCAGCGGAACCGCTGTAGTAGATCAAAAAGTATAAACTAAGAGACCACTATTTAAATAATCTCTTAAACCGCAGATTAAAACCAAATACTTTAGTTCATAGAGCCTTTAATGAACTATGTTTTAACCAAAAGTTACTGAATTCTCACATCATTGTGACATTTCTGTATGTAGCAATATTAATAACAACAACTAACGCTTATGTGGTGTCGTCTTTGTGACAGGCACCATTATAAGCACTTTCCATATATTAACTAATTTAATCCTGAAATCAAATCTCTGATAATAGGTACTATTTTTAATCTCTATTTGACAAATAGGGTTGCATAGAGGTTAAGTAACTTGTCCAAGGTCACTCAATTGATAAATGTGGGGTTAGGATTTGAACCCAAGCAGTCTACCTCCAGTATCTCCTCTGATAACCACAAGTCTGTATACTTGACAGGTTCTGTACCGCCATATTTATTTAGACTAGTGCAGCACTGTCCAACAGAACTTCTTCTGTAATGACAGGAATGTTCTGTATCTGCATTGCTTAACAGGGCAGCCACTACCCAAGCTCTGGAAATGTCCCTAGTGGCACTGGGAAACCAAATCTTTTATTTAATTCAGATTTAAATGTAAATAGTCAGATGTGGCCAGTGTATTATTTGTGTTGTTACCATTTTTTCCCTTAATATAAAAAGAATAGAAAATACAAGAATTTTAGTCCTCTTCTAAATTGCATAAAGCAAATTAGATAATATAGGGAAGAGATCATTGGTTTAGAGTTAAAAGATATAAACTTAGTTACTACTTGTATGAGAATCAAGTGAGATAACTAATATGAAACTGACCAAAATGTGAATTACTACATTAAATTTAATTTAATAATTAAGTTTATTTGTTGCTAATTTTGGGGAATAAATTGTGATGTTATGCATCAAAAAACATATACCTCCTATATATGGGCCAAGAGTAACCATGAGGAGGAATGCAATAATGTTTTTATGATATGTGGTTTCAGCTTCAGAAGTTGCTTACCATGGACCCAATAAAGCGAATTACCTCAGAACAGGCTATGCAGGATCCCTATTTCTTAGAAGACCCACTTCCTACATCAGAGTAAGTGATCAATCATTGACTCACCAGCATCATAGAATTTTCTGGAGCATGCTTTCTATTGGTTGTCAACTCCAAGCTGCCACTCCTTTTGTGGAGCCCAAGGAAATCATTATGACAAGCAAAAATGAGTTCTGATGACTGAAGTGTCATCTGGAGGTTGTACAGTTAAGAGGCATGCCTGTCCATCTCTTGCTTTATGAAACTTTGATCCCACTGGTTCCAGCACTAATCCAGTCACGTGGTGACAGACTGGTTATGCAAACTGTAGCTCCTCCCAGACCATTGCTCACAACTGCACTTACATACAGTCTTGCGTTTCAGAATGGTGAATGCCATTCCCAAATGGGTTCATGTTCCCTGTGTTATCTTTGGTTGTAAATGTAGTAGATTGAGAAAAATTGTCTTCGAGTAGTGACACACATTTCAGCTAGAATTCGTATTTTGGTTGTAGTAATAAAAGAGTAATGCTGAGACACAAAAAGAAAGTTGAGTCGTATTAGGTGATTATTGGTTGTTTTTATGCACTGAAAGGCCCTCAGCTGGCCTGCTGTCATGTCACTGTTTAGAAGAAAGGGGTCATTTTGTCATGCTCACATGAAAGGTGCTTATTTATATTTGCAAATAGACAAAGTCTGTCTTAAAAGATTAAAATGAAAAGAGCTTAAATGAGCATTTGACATATTGGCTGCTATACCAGAAATCGTTTTCTCTTTTTTTCTTCTGATCAGCGTTTTTGCCGGTTGTCAGATCCCTTACCCAAAACGAGAATTTTTAACAGAAGAAGAACCCGATGACAAAGGAGACAAAGTAAGTATTAAAGTACCGTCGACAGCCTCTTTCACTGAATAGTACAGTAACGTTTTCCAGTTTGGGTGTATTTTGTTCTTTGTCTGAGTTGAACTTTGTTTTTCCGTTTAACCAATTGAGAAGAACCAGCAGCAGCAGCAGGGCAATAACCATACGAATGGAACAGGCCACCCAGGGAATCAAGACAGCAGTCATGCACAGGGACCCCCGTTGAAGAAAGTGAGAGTTGTTCCTCCTACCACTACCTCAGGTGGACTGATCATGACCTCAGACTATCAAGTATGTCACGCGGAGTCAGTGCTGGCATGTGGGTGGGGGGGTGGGGGGGGCATCAGAAAATGTGAGATAGTTGACAAACACCGACCTTTTTTGTACTTGGGGAAATACATTGGCATAAAATGTTACTGGCATTGGAAACACTGACAGCAGTACAGTAGAAAGAGTTTAGATTCTTGAACCAGACAGATTTGGAATGATCGAATTCAAATTACGCCATTTATTAACTATGTGGCCTTGGACAAGTAAGATGACATCTCCTGGCTTCAGTGTACTTATCTATAAAATGAGAGTAGTAAAACCTAACTTGCAGTAGTTGTAAGATTAGACATGATGTATCTTAGCACCTACTCGTGGTAGGAGCACAGTAAATTATATCTGTTGTTTAGAAACAACAGTATATACCATAGTGATGAACAACATAGGCTGGCGAATCCCAGCCCGGTCACTTGCTTCTGTGTAACCCTGAGATTCACACCTTCTCAGTTGCCTCATTTGTAGAATATGGATAATGGTAAATATGCAGTTGTAGTAAGGACTAAATGAGATAGCGTATTCTAAGGCACAGGAGCTACCAGTTACTTTTACCGTTTTATTATGGTCCATATTACACAGTAAGCATTTCTTAAGTGGTAGTGCTAGTGTTGGTGATGACTATAATAATAATAACAGCTTATTGAGTATTTAGTATGTGCTAGTTGATGGCAGCTAACAACAGTCCCTGAGTGGCACAAACGGTTGGCGCTCACCTGCTAATCTAAAGGTTGGCCGTTCGAACCCACCTACCAGCACCTTGGAAGAAAGGCCTGGTGATCTGCTTCCATAAAGATTATAGCCAAGAAAACCCTACGGAGCAGTTCTACTGTGTAACACATGGAGCCACCATGAGTCCGAATCTACTCATTGGCAACAGGTTTAGCTACTGTACTAAGTATGAAACATATGTTACTTCCTAACAATCCTTATAACTCTGTGAGGTATGTATTACCATTGCCATTTCAGACAGGAAACTGAGGCTCATGGTGGTGAATAACTATTGGATGATTACCCAGCAAGCCCTTGGTAGACTCAGGACTCAAACTTAGATCCCTCTGACTGCACAGGCTCCTCTGTGGCTACTCAGTGGCGCCTGTCCAATGACATTATCAGTCCTTGTGGAAAGACCTATATTGAAAATTGTATACCACCTCCTTCTGCTTTTTCTAATCATCTGCCCAACTAAACTGAGTTTTGATGTGGAAAGGATACTGAAAACTTGACCTACTAAAAGAGAAAAAGAAGACCTTATTTAAACTGATAAGGTCCCCAATACCTGCTACTGCACTTCAAGAATTAGGCATTAACTCTTTGCCTCAGTTAAGGAGAGGTCCAGCCCACCAAACAAGAAATCCTTGTCAGCCCACGTAGTCATTCTCTTCCAGTAAGCTAAACAAGGAAATGAGAGATGGCGTCTTTGGGAGTAGTTTTCTTCCAGCATCTTTTTGTCCTTGTCTGATGGGAGGAGCGCATCTTGGCTCCAGAATGTGCTTGCACATGAAGGTGCCGGCGCCCTTAGAACATAGCCGAGCAGTACTCTGACCTTCTGCCGGAGCCAAGAAAATGGATGCCGCTCTTTGTTTGCTGAGACTCTTGTGCTTGATTCTTGTGGGTGATTTCAAAAATAGCATTTCTGACTACAATTTCACTTGTTCACTCTTCTTAAAAGGTTATTTTTGTTAGAACTGGCAGAATTTAGAATTAGGATTTATTAAATATGCTTTGAAAGAGAGAAGTAATAAATCATGATTAATCTTTTACAGTGTTTGTCTTGGGAGTTAATAGTTATGACAGAAGGATGCAGGAATGGGAATAGTGTTTTAACAGGTCAGAATTGTAGGACTCTAAACTGTATTCCACCACCTGTGTGTCAGTGTGTCATACTGTGGTGGCTTGCACGTTACTGTGGTGCTGGAAACTATGCCACCAGTGTTTCAAATATCAGCAGGGTCAGCCATGGTGGACAGGTTTTCGCAAAGCTTCCAGACTAAGACAGACTAGGAAGAAAGGCCTGGCCATCTACTTCCAAAAATTAGCCAATGAAACCTCTATGGATCACAACAGAATATTGTCTGATATAGTGCTGGAAGATGAGCCCTCTATTTCTACTCGAGAAACACAGTGGCAGCAACAGTGGACTCACACATACCAATGATCATGAAGATGATGCAGGACCAGTGTTTTGTTCTGTTGTACATGAACAATATTACCTTTCTTTCCCTTTGTGCTATTTTTACAATTGAGAATACCACTCTTCTTACATTTCAATTATAATATTTTTACTTTTCTATGTAACTTGTAGCAGAAAATAAGATTCAGTAGTCTAAAGGACATAAAAATGTGTTAATGGAGAGAAATTGATTCTGTGTTGCCTTTTTTCATCATATTCATTTTTACTCTTTGGTCGTATTGTACGAGGAGTTTCTGTTGAAACTAATGTGCAAATTAGCTTTGAATTTCTTAATGTATACATCATTAATTTCATGTTTAACACCTCAATAAGTTAGTTAATATCATGTAGATACAAAGCAGCATAAAAAGGGTGTTGGAAAAAGGTTGTAGAAAAGAATGTATTTGCACAGCATAGTAATATAACTCGGCTTAGTATTATTTACTAGCAATACTTCTGACATTAAGGAGCTCTGGTGGCACAATGGTTAATAAGTACTTGGCTGCTAACTGAAAGGGTAGCGGTTCAAAACCACCCAGTGGCTTCACAGGAGAAAGACCTGGTGATCTGCTTCCTCAAAGATCACAGCCTAGAAAACCCTCTGGGGCAGTTCTGCTCTGTCACATGGGGTTGCATGAGTCAAAATTGACTCAATAGCACCTAACAACAACTTCTGAACTTGATTTAAAAAAGTTGATATTAAAAGTTTTTTTTTTTTTGTCATTTTAATTCTAAAGTAATTCTATTTATAAGTACAGACCTTTTAAATTCTTACTTCCTTGAAACATAGTGACACTTCAAGCACACATAAACCTTGCTGGCTGGGGATCTAGCTCACCCTGGCAACAGCTGGTTCACGTTTCTGTCTTGTTCTCTTCTAGCGTTCCAATCCACATGCTGCCTATCCCAACCCTGGACCAAGCACATCACAGCCACAGAGCAGCATGGGATATTCAACTACCTCCCAGCAGCCTCCACAGTACTCTCATCAGACACACCGGTACTGAGCTGCGCCGGCATCATGTCATTGCACTGTTGCTATGCTGCGGGGCGGACTGCGCGGCTGTCCGCAGAGCCTGGCCTGGGCCGTGAGAATGTACTGTGCAACCACGTCTTCAGAATGTCCAGCCGCCGAGTCCCACCACTTTTCACAGATTGGGGTAGTGGCTTCCAAGTTGTACCTGTTTTGGAGTTAGACTTGAAAAGAAAGTGCTAGCACAGTTTGTGTTGTGGATATGCTACTTCCATAGTTTACTTGACATGGTTCAGACTGACCAATGCATTTTTCAGTGACAGTCTGTAGCAGTTGAAGCTGTGAAATGTGCTAGGGGCAAGCATTTGTCGTCGTATGTGGTGAATTCTTTCAGTGTAACAACATTATCTGACCAATAGTGCACACACAGAGAACTGTTTAACTGGTACTTGAAACATACAGTATATGTTAACTCAACAAAATAACCAAGACTCAAAATGAGATTATTTTGGTACACCTTTCTTTTTAGTGTCTTTATCAGTGGGTGGATTAATTTTCTACATTAATCTGTTTTTTTTTTGTTTTGTTTTGTTTTTTTTGACCAAGAAAAATGCCTGGATTTTTTTCAAAGTACAAAAACCACATAGTTTTTCCAGAAAGGTTTCAAAACTCCCAAAGATTAATTTCCAACTTTACTAGTTTTTATTTTCAATCTTTGACTTGACTGGTATTAAAGCTGCTATTTGATAGTAATTAAGTATGTTGTCATTGATATAAACCTGTTTGGTTCAGCAAACAAACTAAAATGATTGTCACAGACAGTGTTTTATTTTCCTGTTGGTGTTGCTGATTTGTGAGCATGCTTTAAGATGACAAGAAGCATGAATGATAACTTCCTTAAAAAGGAGCGGCATCCAATTCCGCTGTTTCGTCCTGATTTTGAAGCTGGTTGGTGTAGTGCTCTTAAAATTTTGTTCAGTTCATTTTCTTTTCTAAAACTCATTCGCACGTTGTTTAGGGTGCCCTTACTTCAGCAAGGAGAAGGAGTAGGAGAGCCTTAGAATTTTTGAGGAAAAAAAAAACCTATAACATACAATGTACTGTATCAAACTATTTTACATGAATGACACAAGTATTCTGAATAAAAAAGAAATTGAACATTGTTAAAAACAAGGTGTTATGTAATAAATTTATTTTTCATAAATCAAAATATGGAGTCAGCTGTATTTTTTATGTACGTAGTTTTTTTTTATTTTAAAATGTGCCTTAACAAATTACCTCTGAGTAAATCTCTTCATTTGTTTATATTAATGCTGTCTATATGTTCTGCCTCTATAATGGCGTAAAGTAATAGCTTATGACTGTGACATGGATTCTTTTCTCTGTTACACTCTGTATTTCATAGTACTGTAATGAATATATGAAATACAGACAACTTTTTTTTTATTCCTTTTTTAAAAAAAATTTATTGTGCTTTAGATGAAAGTTTACAGCTCAGGTTAATTTCTCGTTCAAAAATTTATACATATATTGTTTTCTGACATTGTTTGCAATCCCCACAATGTGACAGCACTCTCCTCCTTTCTACCTCAGGTTCCCTGTGTCCATTCGTCCAGTTTCTGTCCCCTCCTGCCTTTTTGTCTTGCTTTTGGACAGGAGTTGCCCGTTTGGTCTCATATGTTTGATTGAACTAAGAAGCACGTTTCTCATGTGTTTGTTTTATAGACCTGTGTAATCTTTGTACAGACACCTTTCTGATGGAAAGAAATTATGATGAGCTTTCAATTTCTGGAATAATTTCTGAGAATTTGTTTTATACAAAATAATTCTTTATAATTAGTTTCCTCCTTCCTTCAGCACAAAGTACAGGAGATGGAAAAACAAATTTTTTTTTTTTTCTTAAAAACTCAACCCATTCATATAAAAACATTTTAAGAGCTGAGGCATTTCCATGCTGATGGGCCTGACCATAACAGTAAGGACAGGTTTTCAGAGCTGAGTCCATGATTCCCTTGAAAGTTTCCCGCCACAGATCATGCACACAGTGCACAGATCTGCTTCTGAGTGTGGAGCTCCTCCTCCAGAAGCCCTCACAAGCTCCCCTTTAGCCACAAAATTGAGTCAGAGCCCTCCACTTTGGGCTTCTGTCAATCTCACCTCTCACTATGTTTTCTTATTTTCCTTCCATGCTAATTGCCTTCTCAGTCTTCTTCCACCTTTTAGCGCGTTGGTTTCCAAACATTAGTGGATATGACAATCATCTGGAGTGGTTTTTGAAGGTATTTTCTCAGGCTCTAGTCCCAGAGGTTGATGAATAGGATTGGGCTGGCACATGAACTCTTGATTGTTAATCAGCTCCCCAGATGGTTCTGATACAGGCAGTCTAAGGAATCCAGGCCAGGAGAAGCTAACCTCCATGGCAGTCGGCCAGTAGACCCCCTGAATATTGAGCACCAGTAACAATCGAGTGGCTTGAAGAGAAGCCTCATCTGCTGACAACCCATCTCCTCGTCTCAGGTGAATTTCAAAACACAAAATCCTTTATAATAACCAGTTGCACACTAAATTAGACTTCCCCCTGCTCAGCTTGCAGATTTCTTGATTTCATTATCTACTCCCACCCCCGAAGTGATCTAGCTCATGACTTTAAACATGGTGATGACCATCATACTTGCATCTCCAGCCTGTCCCCTCCTCTGAGCTTCGTATTCATCTCTTCCATCGCCTTTGTGATAAATGATGGGCACACACAACTCCTGCCGTCCTTCTCCATCCCTGCTGCTTCATGCTTCTACAAAGCACTTACCACCTGACTGTCACAGAGATTGGCTCTTCGTCTCTTACCAGGAGCCCTGGGCACAGTGGTTAAGTGCTCGGATACTAACTGAAAGGTTGGTGGTTCACACCCACCAGCTGCTCCGTAGGAGAAAGATGAGGCAGTCTGCTTCCCTAAAGGTTACAGCCTTGGAAACCCTGTGGGGCAGTTCTACTCTGTCCTATAGAGTTGCCATGAGTGAGTCAGAATCAATTTGACCACAGCAGGATTGCTTTTGTGTGTGTTTGTTTTGTCTCTTCCCAGTGGATCTCACTCAGCCTCAGACCTCTCCTCTTTCTGTTTGCTCCACAGGGGATCTCATCACCCAGTCTCATGATGATCCCTAGATTTCTATTTCCAACCCAGAATTCCTGCCCTTTGAACTTCAGACTGAGACATCTGACTCATTACTACTCAAAATCTCTAAACGTAATGTATCCAAAACCACACTCCTGATTTCACCCTTTCGCCTGTCCCTCCTGCAGACTTAGCCATCTCAACGGGTGAAAGGGCTGCCCTGCCAGTTGTCCAGCCCAGGCTGGAACTGGGCATCACCCTCTCCCACACGCTCAGCATCCATTCCATCTGCAGAGCCAGGGCGTTCCCTTAACAATCTACCCCGAGGCTAACTAATCTCACCAGTCACCACCTTTACTGCAGCACCTACTCCAAGGCAGAGCCACCTCTCTCCTAGACGATTACGATCACTTCCTGCCTGCTTCCACACTTCCTCCCTACAGTCTTCTCAACACAGAGCCTGAGTGATCCTTTTAAAATGTAGGGCACGTCACTCCAGCTCAAATCCCTCCAATGCTTCCATCCCAGTAAAAGCCAGAATCCTTCCTGCGCCCGACCAGTCTCTGCCTTTCCTGGCCTGAGTGGCCTCCCATTTCTCTCTGCTTCCATCTTCTGTTCTTCTCCTCTGCTTCACTCCAGCCATGCTGACCTGGCTGTTCCTTGAACCTGCCAAGCACACTGTATTAACACTTCTCCGCTTGCTGTTCCATCTGTGTCTGCCTCGAATGCTTTCCCCAGCTACGTTCACTTCATCAGATATGCTCAGAGCTCGTCTCACTAGAGACTCTCCCGTTCCACTCTATGTGAAATAGCAGCCCACCCCTTGCCTCCCCCACCCTGCTTTATTGTCCTGCCTAGCACTAATCATAGTGGCACAGACACTTGTTTATTGTTTTTCCTCCCCACACTGGAAGATAAGCTCCAGGAGGGCAGTCTTTTCTTTATTTACTACAATAGCTCCAAGAAACTAGAAAAGTCCTTACACTTAGTAAGTGCTCATAAACATTTACTGAATGAGTGAATGACTTTCTATTTGGATGTCAAATTGATATCTCAAACCTAACATCCAAAAGAGATCGTTTAATCTCCCCCCGAAAAAGTTGGCCACTCAGTGTTCTGTATCTCAGAAGGGTACCAAATCTATCCCATAAGTTATCCAGCTACTTAGACAAAACTCTTGGCCACCCTTAACTCCTTTCTCTCAGACCCATATCTAGTTCATCAGAAAATCCTGGCAGCTCTACCTTCAAAATACATTCTGAATCCAAGCATGTCTCGCTCCTACCACCATTATTACAGTAGCCACCATCATCGCTCCCAATGTAATGGAGCTTCCTAGCTGGTCTCCTGCTCGACTCATGCCATTCTGTCATTGTTTTCCACACAGCAGCTAGTAATTTCTTTATGGACTATCAGAACTGGTCACTCTCCTGTTCTGAAGCCTTCAGTGGCTTCTCCTCATGCTTAGAAGAAAATTCAAATTTATCAGTGTTGCCTAAAATGTTCAGGTCTGTCGGTTCCCTCTGCAGCCTCATTTCTTATCACTGTCTCCATAATGACTGGACTCCAATTACCTTAGTCTCCTTGAGGATCCTCGAAAATGTCAAGCACATTTCTGTCACAAGCCTTGTTACTTGCTGTGCCTTCTGCCTGGAGTTCTCTTGCCCTGGATTTTGCCTGGCTCACTCTCTCAATTCATTTATTGTTGTTTTGTTGGGTGCCATCTAGTCAATTCTGACTCATAGCGACCCCATGTGACAGAGGAGAAGTGCCCCATGGGGTTTTCTTGGCTGTAATCTTTACAGGAGCAGATCACCAGGTCTTTCTCCCGCAGAGCTGGGTGGGTTCGAACCTCCAATCTTTTGGTTAGCTCCTCATAGAGGCCTTCCCTAAGCACCCTATCCCTTCCCCTCAGTCTTATTTATATCCCTTCCCCTCAGTCTTAGTCATCTGCTTCTCCTGCTTTAATTTTCTTGATAGCAATGATCACTGCTTAGCATTTTTATACTTGTGTATTTGTTTATTGTCCATCTCCACCATGAGGGCAGAGACTTTGTATTACTCACCTTGTCACCTAGAATAGTGCTCAGCATATAGTATGCATTCAATAACTGTTTATACATCTGAACTTAAAAGAGAACTAAACTGAAATAATCACCATTATCTATATTGTCTAGTTGTGCTATTTGTTATAGTCATTTCTGAAATTGCTCTGTCTATATTATTAAACTTTATAATTATTGAGATAAATTTCCGTGGAATTGAATGAAATAAATAAAATGCATCCAGATTGGAAAGAAAGAAATAAAACAGTCTCTTTTAGCAGACATCATCATTGTCTATGTAGAAAATTCCAAAGAATCTACAAAAAAGCTATTCGGCCCAGTAAGTTGAGCAAGGTTGCAGGGTACAAGGTAGATATACAAAAGTCATCTTATTTCTGTGAGTAATTAGAAATTGAAATTTTTAGAAAGTTCCATTTATAATAGCACCAAAAACCGTGAAATACTTAAGCATAAGTCTTATAAAAGGTGTGCAAGATATATATTCTGAAAGCTACAAAATACTGATGAAGGAAATCAAAGAAAACCTAAATGGAGAAATACAACTTTTCATGGATTGGAAGACTCAATATTGTTAAAATGTCAATTCTCAAACCATAGATTCAACACAATTCCATTCAAAATACCAGCAGGATTTTTTTTTGGTAAAAATTAATACATTTTTTCTCTAAAGTTAATATGGCAAGGCAAAGGAACTAGAAAAGCCAAAATAATAATAATCTAATCAAGACAGTGTTATACTGGAGAAAGAATAGGCATATGGATCAATGAAACCAAACCGAGAGTGCACGAAGAGTTGTTAGCTGCCTTCAAGTAGGCTCCTACTCATGATGACCTCATGTACAACTGAATGGAATGTTGCCCAGTCCTCTGCCATCTTCAGTGGTTTGAGTTCACTTTGTGGATATTTTGTCAATCCATCTCATTGAGAGTTTCCTTCGTTTTCATTGGCCCTCTACTTTACCAAACATGACATCCTTTTCTAGTGATTGGTCTTTCCTGATGACGAGTCCAAGGTAAGCAAG